AAATACATCATTTAGTCTCTGCGTCCCTAGAGTATGTACAAGGTTGCGCTCCAAATTCTTTCTCATAAGATATACTATGTTATGGAATAAGTTACCTGAATCCAGTAGATGCAACAACACTAAGCATATATTGCGTGCTCAAGTGATCAACCCAATCACCGTAGAGGAGGTAGTACGTAAACTGGGTGAATCTATGTCTCTAGACGATATTTGTGAGAGACCCTACAGAAGTTTAAATGACGAACCTCACATCTACCGCATAGTAAATTGCGTTCGGCTTAGATCTCACCCCGTATATTAACCTTGTGACCCTGCTTATCTATACGTTTCTTTTTTCTATTTTCAATGTTATATTTGCCCCACTTGGGCTACGGGGTTGCCTGACGTTAGAAGGATTCGGTCCACTTAGTTTCACTGGTACTCCCAACCGTCCTGTACTGGTTACTGATCATCTGCTTACCTTTATTGCCTTGTCTTAGCTTTTAAAAATTCACCTCGGTACTGCATACGACAACATACCAGCTAGTTAGTTATCTAATCCTCTGAGGAAACTAAAAATGTGACCACGGCTTTGTCACTCCAATTCACCTCAACTTGGTCCTTATCATCACTTAACTTTATCACACCTGAACGCTCGCCATCCGCCAATGACAACACTAGCAGATTGGTAGAATGAGAACCCAGATCCTTTTTCTGACATTATTATCACCTTGCTATTCAATAATTCAAATTCAATTAACCTGGCCTGAAAGTTAACCGTGTGCCAGAGTGGATCTTGTCATTTAGGATAGCCGGACTTCCAGTACTGATGATCACCACTTCAGCTTGATCATCTCCATGAAATTCTCTTTTACATGGCTCCATTCCCCACCATGCGCCTGTTAAACCTAGGTTCAGTGATGGGCAGACACCCAGCTCCTAATTTGTTCACAAACCTGCTCTTCCTCGCTTATACTATGAACCGTACCTTTACCCTGGCGTAATAAAAACTAACATTGTTGTGGTTGTCGCTGAATGTATGGATAAGCTGCTGCTGCCACGCAGCTGACCGTCACCAGAAATGTGTTGTTGGTTTCCGCTGACTGTGCAGATAACCTGCCTGAATTAGCTGTACCGCCCACAACCAGTTCGACCCGCAATGAAACGAGAACGCCAGGGATTAGCCAGGCCGAGGGACACTATTGCATGAGAGCATGGCGCAATAAATAGGTCGCGGGCAAGTAATAACACAACAATATTAGAGATACTAATTAATGTTAATTAACACAACTCAAATGGTTCCAGTTCATGATCCCACTTGCCGCTGATCCCGCATTGATTCGCGTTTTGATCTCTACTCGAGTTCGATCTACAGTTGTAGATCGATCCAATAGTTGCGCCACTACTCTCGGTTTGATCGCTGACTGTAGGCATTCTCTCCGTAACAAACGTCGTTCAGAATAACCACAGAGGTGATCGCTTATGAGGCACACAAACCTTACTGTACGCAGTAATAATTCGGAGTATAGCGGACAAAAAGCTCTCCCCTACAGCTCATGACCGCACATACAACAGAACCTGGAAATAGTAAGATGAGCCGATATAAAAGTAACGATTTGAATACCGTACCGGCCAAATATGTGAGGATAAATAAGCACCCAACCTTATGGAGCCTGGCCCTATGAGCAGTAGCAGTGTCTCGATCCAACCTGTGTTCCCTACATTTATCTTATTTGTACATCAGTAAACAAGCATTTACGTATTAATTATGGACTTGATTCACCTCAGAAGACACATGCAATATAGCCATGACGTTGAATTCTGCAGCTTGTTTTATAAGATTGCTGAAGGATGTGCTCACGTAGGCTTGTAAAATTCCATGTTTCCTAGGCGCGCCTCGCCGCAAGTTGTAAGTAATGTTACTATTATGCTATAGCAGATTTTTTAGACTTCGTTTGACAATTTAGAAATTATCATTCGCCACCATCTATGTCGCTTTTCCTATTACGTCTGAATCATACACTGGCATGTTGACATTTACCAAATAATACAAAATTCGCTCTAATTAAACCTAGAGCCAGTGTCTGTTGCTATCAGTTCGTTCGCTTTCATGCTAGTATTTCTCACACAGGGTAAGGCTTTCGGTATGATACCGCATTTTTAGATGTTCTAACTTAACTGGTTGGCGGCATCCGGTTTCGGATTTGTCTGTCACTGTGACGAGCCACAGCACGCCTGCGCCTATTGAGGGAAATTGAGTGGTTTGTGCTGCACCACCCACACAACTAATAGGGAAATTACAACACATGTTTAATTTTATGTATTCCTTGTAAAGTGTTGTCAATATTTTTGAATTATTCTCTGCTAGACATTCATGCATCATTTATTGTTACTGGTAACCATACTATAGCCCTTTGTTTCCTACCTTGATATCATCATTATATCATTTCCCCCTGAGTCCACTATGAACTGGGACTTCTGAATATGCTTCAATCGATTGATGAAGTTGGATTGCGCGTCAGGCGGAGATTGAAAGACTGACTCGGCCACAAAAGTTCCCCTTCCGCCTTTTGGTCAGACTGGGCTGGTTCAGATCAACGGGACAACAGTCAACGGAGGTTATAAGCCCGGTACAATCTTCTGCACTTCTCCCTGAACAAAGTGCATGTGCGAAACTGTCATGAACATAATATATATTTCCAGCCAATATGTGGAGAGGATTTAATGATTTGATCTTTCCCTGTGTGGGAATAGCCTCTCGCATCGTCAATAAATAAAAGATTTATTTATTGGTCTCTCCTCTCCCGTTACTGAATCCGAAGCTATTGGGTCAGTTTCGTTTTTGCGTCTGACCTTACGTGAGTCGAACCTGTTTAGTAAAGGGCTCCCAACTACATACAAGTTTTCACATCTAACAAGGCACTCGTCCTACGAAATGGATCAACACATTTCATTCGTAACTGGAGGTATCTACTATACTTACAGAAACCAAAGCAAAATATTAGCTTAAATCTCTTCCGAATGTGATACGTCCATCTACAGGAATACGATACCACTGCAACTGCAAGAAAATGTGCTCATTTGAACGCACGAACGCTTCGGAATAATTTGAAACACACCGGTAAGCCCAGTTGCTTGTTTAGCTGTTGATTGGTCCTCCGAGGTTGATTACATGGTTGCAAACGTTTCGCCAATATACGTAGTGGAATCCTCAGTGGGATGGGTAATCTCACTGATCACGAATAGATGATACAATCAGTGAGATCGCCCACTGCGCATCACTGACGATACAACCTCGCATGGTGGCGAAACGGTTACAACCATGTAAGCCAGCTCGGAGTAGTGACAGTTTGTTAAGCAGAAATCTGCGAATGTACTCTCGGGACCAGGTCTGAATAACACATGAAATATGCTCCGTAAAACTTGTATTTTGTTGATCCATATCAATACCAAAAGTCAACAATAAATGCTACTGAATCTCACTATACATGAGATTACAGCACACATTTGAAGAACATATTTAACACCTGAACGCCAAGAAAAATGCCAGTGCACTCGAACCAATTGTTAAACTTAAGGGAGTATCTAAATCATTCAGATTCGCAAAATGCAACCCTGTAGAAAGGAATGTCCTCCAAACAGGAACATTTCTCTTTCTGTCGGGAAATATACGCACTAAACGCCTGCGATGTGCGTCCACGTGGATCTCGGTGTTCGACGACCAGCCGATCAAATTCATGTTACCTTCACTCGTTGCAAAATGCCCAGATTAAATCTCGATAAGTGAAATCCAAAGTTCCTCCATACAGTGAAATGAGATTGAGTAAGTGAAATTAGTGCACAAAGTTCCGGAAGTATCATCTGCGCCACAGCCGCAGCGGTGCAGAGCACGGGAGGATATTTATTTATTAAGATCGATTGAGCCTAAATGATTCTAACTTAGAAACAAAAATGCAATGCGGCACGAACTTTAAACTAGACCAACTTCAACATATCCATCAGCAATATGGTGTTACTCGTATTTATCAGGTGTCTTCCTGTATCTAGCGCCCTTGAAGACAACTGGTTGAAGTAGGAACTCACTGTTAACACTGTTCTGAACCGGCTACATCATGTGGTCCCTAGGTAGAAATGAGTGCCTCACCGCCCACCCACCGTTCCTAGAGCTGGCGATTGCATCAGGGCAAGCCGGTTGCGATTTGTATGGCGGTAGCTGTGCCAGTGCACATATTCGCCCTATGTGCAGCCTTTCAGCACAATATATCTTCGTCCATCCTAAAGATCGCATGCTCTTTTACGATCAGTGTCCAGTGTTCCTCCGGGTCAGGTGCGCCGTTATAACATTGAGTGTATCAGAATGGAGCAAAATTCACAAAATATACGGGAAGTGAGTTGACAGGCAGCAACCCACTGGCTCACTGTTGGGTGGGGATTGCAAAGGAAAGACATAATGGGTAAATAAAATAGAATCGATGGGCGCACCTTTATCAGGAAATACTTGGTAGAATACTATTGACCTTTTCTTTCTTAATTTGCGCATCGTTGAGTAATGGCTAGAGATTTCAATAGCACTTAATCCAAGCTCTATTCTCTTCACCACCGTACGAATGTACATACGCGGCAGCATTTTCATCAGAAATGTCACAAAACTCAAATGCGTCGGGGTTAACTTGAAACACAGTCACCGGTCAGGACGAAGCCAGTTATGGTACATAAGGTACTACAGCAGACAGTCCTAACCAGTTCACCGTTGTATCTACTTTCAGCCGGTTGCCCTTAGGATAGCGAGAGTAGGCATTGCAAACAAAACGGGAGCACGTTACGAACAGACTGTGTAGACCTGACAACATCCGATTGAAGTCAAATAAAACAACAATGAAAGCAGAAAACTCGAATCAAGGCAACAAATCGCGTTGTGATTGGCTGGTATCAAAATAAAACGCTATGAGCTCCAGTCGTTTAGCGGTTGCATAAGCATTCGATGTGCTACATTCGACGTTCAACGAAAACAACAGGCTTACTTGATCAACAGGGAGGTCGACAGTTGAGACACACGAAACATGGGATTGACAGACTTCCGAAGCTTGTGTAGTGGATGGACTGTCAGTATGAAGAGCTGTGCTGATATGAGTTGATGATGCTGGGAGCTTATTCAAGATGCGGTGACAAATTTTGCGCGATCCGTCCGGCTGATGAATGCAAAGGGGAGTTGGCAGTATCGACCACTTTCCCTTACTTGAGTCGAGCAAGTCAAACTCCTGACCACATTTTGTTGTGGGAGATGATGGCACACTAGTGTTGGGTGGGGAATTTTCATAACATGCAGCACCATCGGGGGGAAACCGAGGAGACCAACAAAACTTCATGGGTGATCTATCTTCAGGACCATCCACAATTCGGTTGTTGTCGGATGTATAGGCAGCACCCTCAGGAGATGGCTGATTTTTTACGGGTTCAGTTGAATCGCTGGCGATCGCATGCTTCGATGTTGCCATACTCGTTGTCTGGGGCGCTTGGCTCACTTCCACGGTTCGATTAAGCGTTCCAGTTGAAAGTGGGATGGGAAGTTGTAGATTGATGTACGAATGGCTCCGTCTTTCTGTTAGAACGGTATGGAGAATACCACGTACGGTTCGGGTGGCATGCGGATGAAATAGCATGATAAAAACATGGTAGAGGCAGTCGCAATCTAAAGAAACTATATGCATATTTTCGTGAACAACCTAGCACTGTGGTGAGAGCAGACTCCAAGGCAGTATGGGGGTATGCGTGCCGATGTGATCGACCGAGAAGGTATTTAGACCTGTGAATGGCTGAAGTTATGTTAAATTCGGTTTCGAGAATCTCTCATAGGAGCCTATGAAAATGTCGATGGTCTACCTCCCGCAAAATGCAAATATGGGAGGCAACAGATTGCTATATCCCGGTTTGTCAAGGGCACCAGTGTTGTGGGAAGAGTTGCATTAAACCCAACAGCCTCTAGTAAACAGAATACAACTGAACCAAAATTCACCTGTTGATGAGTTGAACCGTTACTTTAGAAAAACAACTTTCCGTACATCTACTGTTAGGTGGGCTCCCGCGCAGACGGGTCATGTAGGGTTTTGCAGTCACACCCTAAAAGAAGGGATGCTCAGCGCCACCTTGTGAAGTGGACTACCAGGTGCTGGATGGATTCTCTCAAACGGAACTCCAACATGCCCAATGCTATGCAAGTCAAAATGATGAGTCAAAATTTAGAAGTCATATCCCGGTCGTAAAATAAGAAAAAGTAAAAAAAATTAATACTATGCCTCTTTTTACTACGCACTAGCGAGCTCATAATTGTAGGGAGGGGGTTAGGGCGATGGTAAGAGTCAAGGAAACCCACAAAACAAAATCGCTGAGGACGGACTCTAGACATGTTATCGACTGAATCTATTCACACGCGATCATCATCCTCGGGACTCCAACCCGGCAGTCTCGAAGCCCCAACCGAGGCCAAATTCGAAGTAAATGTCCAATTTTCTTGACCAAATCATCCGTTCGCTTCACCACATCCTCTTGCATTCAGACTCCGGTCGCGCAAACAACGCACGTCGCGGGAGTCGGTGAGCTGGTCTACGTACCATATTACTTAACCACTGGAGACCGACGCGTGAAAAAATGGTTCCGAGCGGCTCATTCGACCTTCATGCACCAAATATCAGATGCCGAAAACGCGCAGTGCTTTGTACCAACAACTTCCCCGATAAATCAAGTCAACCACCCATCGTGACAAGACTGAAACTTAACACGGTGCGATAGTTAGCAAGCCACTGCGATTCATTGGGCTAGACCGAGTGGTGCTTTTTTGCGCCTTCAGAGCCACTCATATCAGATTAGTCAATGGTTAGAGGCCTGACAAACTCAGTCTTAGCTATTCAGATTGGAGATTGAAGTGAGTGTGGCTCCTTACTTCATAAAACATACTTAAGGTAACTCAGTGCCAAAACCCTTACGGTAAGGTTTTTAAAGCAAAGGCTTTGGTTGAGAACCCTAATTGTTCTCCTGCCTAAGCCTGGGCAACCTGACAGTATCCTGAACACGTAATACAGCATTATGACTACCCCCTCAATCTTTTGATGCTCTGGCTGTCGCAGAGGATAATTAACGGCCATCTATCTGCTGCATCGACCAAGATGGATAGGGTTTTAGAGCCTACTGTTCAAGTCTTCCTGTCTTCATATTCCCTAACTTGCGCATTATCGTCCTCATCGTCCCATACCAATTTCATTTATCCAGGCTGTTTTCAACCCCTTAAGCCTTGAACTTCCCCCAACTTGGTTCAGTAATCGTTTATCTGCTAGTTTCGACTCACACGCAACCGCAGGACATCGCTCCGGTCCAGTCGGCAAATTCATGTCCAGCCAAACAGACAATGTCAGTTCATCTGCTTCTATTTGGAGTCATCAGCCTTCCTTAAATGGGCATGACTAAATGTGCACATTTCATTGTAGATTGGCCAACAGACTACCCTTTCCCAAACACTGAAGACCCTATCAATCGATATCTGCTGCTTATTAGAAACTCGCTTGCAAGATTTGAGTTCTGTGATTACGTTGCGATCCCAACGAGCGACGCTGACGGTGTTTGCTCAATGAACTTGTCCGGAGATGACGCGACTTAAATGGCGGCGTAGGCATCGCTCTTAGCCCTCTGGCTGAAATTGCTTTGATCGACTGTGCCCCAATGAACAGCCGAATGTGCGCTTGCAGACTGGATTGCTCATTCAAAGCATCAAAGTCGCGTAGGAAAAAACGGTGTTTGTTTGTCACAGCAGCCTATGCATCCCGAAACTGTAGCGCTGAATCTGCGACTTCTGTTATCAACGAGTTCTGTTATCGATTGAAAGCGTGCAAGCGTCAAATAATAAGTATGGACACTGTGGTATTTGCTGATGATTTGAGTGCTAAAGTTGGACAACTGTCCACTGATGAGCTTCATCTGGGCGGTCAACACGGTATAGACTAGCGTATTGATAATGCTGATCGGTTGCTACACCCGTATGAAGATGCTGGCCTAGTTCTCGCGAACATTAACTTCCGACACAGCACGCGCAGTAGGGTGACATGGCGCCCACCAGTCTCGGACCAGCGATGGAAATACAAACCGATCACATCGTGATCAGTTACCGGTAGAGAGGATGGGTCCAAAGTTGTCGCTTAATTTAGTGCCTCAGCGTGGACTCTGACCATGCACTTGTTTGCGCCGACTTGCTGATGCGTTTCGGTGGAGTTCCGCAACGGCGATGCGAGTGCATAGATACTTGCCAATTGGCGAAGCCAGATGTTCTGAATGCGTATCAAAGTACGCTGGCTTATGCCCTAAGTAGACGCTTACTGAACACAGTTGAGGATCACTGGTCGCAGATCTGCCAGACGTTATTAGCAGCAGGCATGTCTCCATATGGCAAATCAAATTGCCAACCTAGACAATGAGCCTCCACACAGTCCCTGAAACTTCTGGATGAATCACCGAAGTGTTACAATTGGAAGCAAAAAGAATGAGACTCACAAAGTCCTTAGGGTGAAACTGCGTGCTAGCCTGAAGAGGGACCCCGAAACCTGGTGGTTTCAAGATGCATCGGAGATGGAGACAGCCGCAACTCTTTGTAACCAACAAAAGCTATTCTGTTTGATAGGCGGAACGGGCAGCAGGAAAAGTGGTCTTAGCAAACCATATGTGACGATAGTGGACAATCGATTCGCAGCCTGTCAAAGCGTCTGGAGTGTTGGATGGAACACTTTGAAAAAGAGTTCAATCCGACAGAATTGCCAGCTTCTCCAATGACCAGTGAGCGCCCTATTCTCTGGTTCGTCCCCTGGGATCCGCCCTAACGCGAAGAACCGAACGTGAGATCAGACAGCATTGAATGAACAAGGCCGCTGGAGCAGATGGACTACATCCAGCCCTCTACAAATTCAGAGATCAGGTTTACATAACTGACTAGTGAAGCAGGAGTCTGTCCCAACAGACTGGAGCCACTCCGTTAAAGTCCCAATTTGCAAAGGAGGTTCCCGTTCCGAATGCAGCAGTCAGAGAAGAATTAGTCCGATCTCCATTGCCTCTGTTACTTGTCTCTGTCGTCCTCCATAGACTGACTGGCATCCGTGGAAGCGAGATGCGCAAGGAGCAGGCCGGGTTTCGTGGAAAACAAAGGCTACATTGACCACATCTTCAAATTAGGTCAGTTGTTGGAGCATAGCCATATTTATCGGCAAGCCACGATAGTCGTGTTCCTCAACATCAAAGGTACCTGCGATTCGGTAGAACTAGGTGCCCATTGAACTGTTTAAAGAGGAAAGGTGTACACGAGACATGAGTAGGTATCATAAGAGCGCTGTACGCGTACAGTCCGAGCAGAATAAGGGTTTACGGGAAACTATCGCCGCTCTTCAATATCTCCAGCAGTGGGAAACAAAGATGCCTGCTGTCACCTTTCTTTGTTAACTTCGCCAATGACGAAGTTGTGGAGACTGCGTTTACTGGATACGACCTGCAAGTTATGGAGATGCTCTAAGGCAAAGGGCTTCTTGACTTGGAGTATGCCGACAACATTGCGCTCATGTGACAGGTCCGGAAGGTGCTAAGTTGCACTGGATAAATTAGCTCTGACAGTCAGTGGTTTCGGGTTATGCTTTGCACCATCGAAATGCAAAGTCCTTCTCGAAGATTGGCAGGAACCTACTCCTGTGCTGACTATTGGTGGAGATAAGGTTGAAGACGTCCAGCTATATTTGCGCCTTTGGGATCGAAGAGGAGATCACGAACCGCATAGGAAAAGCTCTAGGCGTTTTTCTAATCTCCAACACCTGTGGCGCCGGCATGATAATACCTTAGCTCTGAAGAGCAGAGCGAAACCTGGCCCATCAACTCGACCGGTTTGTTACGTTCGACCATCGCTGCCTTAGCAGCTTAGCTCATGTCTAGTAGGAACACCGCGTGACTAAGGAACTTGTTCGGCACCACGTATTCCGTACAAGAATAGAGAGTGAACTGCTCAGCACCATTATACTACACACCAGACTCCGATGGTTTGGCCACGTGCTGCGCACGCCTGCACACCGACCCCGCATCGTGCGTTGTTTGTGCGCCCGGGGTAAGGATGGAAGAAGACGAAGGGTAACCAAGCGATGAATTGGTCGAGAGGAAAGAAATCCTTAAGTTTGAAATTAGTGCCGGTTGGCGTTTCCAGACTGCTGGGCTGGAGACCGAAGGATGAGGAACACGTTTGATTGGATACACTAGCTGACATGGCGAAGAGCGGAAGTCAGTTTCGTTTGTGTTGTGAGTCTCATTGTCTCTCCCCTCCCCTTTGACTGCCACCTTCAACAACAATCTCAAGCCCTATGTATAATGTGATATTTAGCATTATGCATCCATTTTATGGCTTTGTTAATCTGTATAGTTTAATCTTTTATATATTTGGAATGCGGCACATTAGCTGAAGTGTCTTTCTCACCCTCGGCCAACGTGTATTGGTGATGGTGATGATGAAATCATCCAAAAAAGGTCTCCATAATACTGAAGAGGGCTAAAGGAGGTCCGTCTGGTCCTGCAGCCTTATTCAATTTAAACAGGCTGATCTTAAATCCGGTCTCAACCTCAGAGGGCGCATCTAAAGTGACAGTCCAAGCAGCAAGGTGACCACTGGCCAATGATGAAACTAATGAGTCTGGCCGAAAGGATTGTTTTTCAGAGTGCTCAACCCAACGATCCAACTGTTCTGACAGGTTGTGGATAAGTTACCCACTCTCATCGCATGGTTGGCGGCATCCGGTTTCAGATTTGCCCGTCACTGTGGCCAGCCACAGGACGCCTGCGCCTACAGAGGGACCATGGGTGGCTTGCGCTGCAACACCCACAGCTCCAACCACACACACCCCATATCCAGTGTAAACCCGAAGGAATAAGACCGGCAGGCATGTGGATGGGTGCCACGTTTCATCAACGGAGCCGGCCCACACTCCTTCACAGGCAAACACAAGCACGCTGTACTTGGGGAATCAAGCGCACACAAGGCAGTGGCTGGACCGTAGTCGCTCCACACTGAGTGCATGGAACCGCTCTTTGAGCCTAGCACGGCCACAAGGACCGTGCACTCCCGTCCCCTCCAGCAACGACCAACTGTCTCCTGGAGCCAGTATGAACGAGGTAGTGGGTAATAGACAGGTAGGCACCTTGTCAACATGCACATCAAGCGCAGCCACACCGGGAATATCAAATAACAGCCATACACTTGAAACGACAAGCTGAAATAAAATAAATCCAGTAATGCATAGAGGTACGGTGGCATAACTCTTCCCTAAATTACCACATGAAGTAAGTTGGTTAGCAAGGAAAAAACTACAAACGCAACAAAATTACCGAAGATAAGCGCAATTAGTGTAAGCAACGTGGCCAGTTAATAGAACATTATTCAGGGAGGCAGAACAAACCAAATAAAGTGGAATGAAATGTATCCAGCTTAAAAAGACCTAGTTTAAGTGTAAGTTGGTTTAGCCCAACTGCGGTGAAGAAGCATCAAGAATGCAACATCAGCCTCAGCATCGGGCACACATCAGCCTTGTTAACACCCGGGCCTCCTGTTGTCCCCTAACCGCATCAAGCCGATCGGCTTTTGATGGCTGTCAAGAACAGCGTCGCTTCGAATCTC